GGGAGGGGAGGGGAGGGGACGGGGCGGGACGGGACGGGACTAGACCCCCCGCTCTAGCCGTGCCCCGGGCGCGCACACGGGCGCAGCCATGTTGCCGCCCCTGACCCGCGGTCAGGCGGGAGCGCGTCGCCACTGCGCCTGTGCGAGGGCGCCGCGCATGCGCACGGCGGGCGGCGACGCCGCTGCCCTCAGCCTGGCCCTTCCCTCAGCCCGCAGGGCGGGAAAAGGCCGGAGCCTCGCAGTAGGGCGTCAGTGCTCTGAGGGCGAAAGCACCCGTCAGCTCTGACGAGGCGTTAATTAGTTATTACGTGATGGTGGTTTGCTGTGCGCTAGCAGCCGCGCTGCTCCAGAAAGGGAGGGGAAGAGGCGCTTCCTGCTGCCGCTGGTCCTGAGGTGAAGCTGGGCCCAGTTGGCCCTGAGGTGCTGGTGGGTGCTCCCGTGGCCAGCGTGGTTCCTTCCACCTGTGGCTGGGGTCTGCTCGGAGAGCAGTCATCCGTCCACTGGGAAGAAAAAGAAAAAAAAGGCGTTTTGAGGGGAAAACATTTCTGAAGTCACTAGGGGGTTTTCCTCTATTCCTGCTTGCAGCACAAACACCTGATGTGTGGTCCTGCTGTCACCATCCTGCGCTTTCTGTGGGCCGTTCCTGCAAACAGATTGGAGCAATGTGGAGGGAAATGAATAAAGCCTCCTGGCCAGGGTCTTATCTCCTGCCTGTTCCCAGGAGGTGTGTTGGCTCTCCCCAGAAAGGAAGATGCCATTTTTCACTCCTACCCCATCAGAAACGCTGTTGTGTTTTGCATTTGTGTCTCGCTGAGGCCTTTCCCCCTCTCCGCAAAGGGCATTCAAATCAGCAGCGGTTTCAAAAGTTGCAAAGAGAATTTTGGCACAGAGTCGTCACATAATCCTCACCCAGCAGTAAACTACACTTGAAATAATGGGAAATAGGGTTCTAGGGGTGGGAGAAGGCGTAAATGTTGGAGAGCAGTATAGTGCATGCAGAACCAGAAAATCAGCAGGCTTCAACTCAAGATTTCCTTGGCTGCAAGCACATCACTTGGGGTGACGTTTGGATGTAGCAGCCGAGGATGTGACACTGCCTCACATTGTCAGCATCAGTAACCGCCTTCAGGCAGCTCGGCTCCTTTTCATCAAACTGCTAAGGGGGTTTGCAGGTGGGAAGCAACGTGCTGTCCTGTCCTGTCACATCTGCCCGCAGGAGCATAGTGATTGACATCAAAGTGCGGTTGCCACCTCCAGCGAATTTATTACAACGCTGCAACGCTGTGAATTTTTTCTGAGCTGCCTCAGTCCCCAGAGACAGGCGATGTTAGAGTAGTCTTCATTTCATTTAGTCTTCATTTTCATTTGAGTGAAAAGCTCAAAGCTCTGCAGGCAAAAACAGAAAGAACCTGAATGTATTATATTTCTCAACCTCCTTTGATTTTTAAGACACCTCCTTGGTTTTCTGGTCCTAACTTATGATTTTTATAGTAATCTGGTGGGTTATCAGTACTTTGTTATAGTTTAGGCTTTGTTGTGTTTCTCAAGGATCACTTCTTGGTTTCATATCAGGATATGATCAAACAAGTGGACTTCTTTGACATTACTAGCACACCTGTCCCCAGGACGGCTGTCTGACCACCTTTCCTCCAAAGCCTGGGATGTGCCTGAAGCCTAAGGCAGGCCAATTTGCTATCCTAGGAATTAATTCCTGATTCACTTTTGATTCTGATTCCTGGAAGAAGCAGGAGCCACAGTTACATATTTCAGCTGTAATATAGCAAAGACTGGACTGTGAGCAGTTATTATAGTAACACCCAGCAGAGTACCTGGCATTCTGAAAGAACCCTGCTATTTAGACAGAAATAAAAATGATCTGAAATCTACCATTTCCAGCTGGTGTTCTGGTAAGTGGCTAAATAAACACAAAAGCTGAAAGTTCCTCAGTTTCCAAGTCCACGTCTGTCATTAAATTAGGTACTTTGGAGCGATATTGAGGGAAAAGTCAGACATCTGCAGTAAATGAAGCATGCTTTTAGAGTTACTGCTATCCCCATACAACCCACTGATGGCAGCACTTAAAATGAGACCTTATTCCCCACGTGTGCCCAGGAGGTCTCTTGATGTAAAGGTTCTTGGGGTCATAGCAAGCATTTTTCACATTGTTCAGCGCAAAGCTTTCAGACACACTCTGTGGCAGTGACTCTTTTATTTATCACCTTCTGTCAGAAGAACTGCTGCTGCATCAGAGAGGTCACAACCTCCTATTCTTCCAAGCCACTGTCCTGTCTTAAATGAACAAGTTCTGCTTAATGCCGCAGGCCAAACATTAATCTTTGTGCTAAGTCCTTCAATGGACTCCCCCTGAGCTTGCAGAATAAGTTGAGTGAAGAAAGAGATCCATTTTCTCTCGTCCTTTCTTCCTTGCAGGAAAACACCACAGGTGCTCCCCAGCATCTCTACTGCAAGTGAAGAAGATGGGCTGAGCAGAAAAACCTAACACAGGCAAAAAAAGTGTCTGGCTGCACCTAAATGATGGATGTTCGTGGTGCCATACCTTCTCTCAACCTTGGTTTTAGCTCATTCATGGTCCTGTACCTTCTCCCAAGCCTGCTTTCAGCTGTGGCTGAAGCTCAGGGGCTAGAGGGCAAGCTGGGGAGGCTGAGGAACAGCCACATGGTGCTTTTCCCAGGCACTGCGAGTGCAATACCCTGTAGCAGAGGAGAGAATAGACAGCTGTGTCCATGCTGCTGCCAGTGCTGACTCTGCCAGCACTGAAGCAGCTTGGTGGCCGCTGGGTTTTTGCTCAGCCCCTCCTTTCATCTCCTTTTTCCTTCTCTGCTCCTCTCTTTGCCCTTCCCTGCCCGTGGCTGCAGGCTGGTAAGAGTGCTTTTAAAAATGACCATTATGCCTACAGCACCTCACCTGCTTCCTTCAGCCTTTGCAGCACATAAAAGCCTTGGCAAGAGATGAAAAGCTTTTTAATTACAGTCTGATAAAGAACATATTGCATCTATGGATGCACCGAGTGGGATATGAGCTGCCAACAGCATAGTAATCCTCTAGCTTATAGTCTGCAAAAAAGAGAGATCATAGGGAACGAATATCAGCCACTGATGGGTCCTCTTTGTCAGAGCTACTTAAGCACCATTTTGAATCGATTTCACATTATTAGTCCTTCCACTGGTTCAACAATGCACGTGTACAAAAATGCCTGTATGTGTATATTTGTGCATATGTATGCATGTCTCTATGGTTTTTTGTGTGTATTTCCTCACCCAGTCTCTAGCTGCCGTAGGACGTCTGACACCAGCAGCAGAAGATATATTGATCTGGTCATAACATATTAAGGCTGCTGAAGAGCAGATGTTAAAAGCAGACTTCTTGGCATATATCAGCCCCTGGCGGTATCAGTCGCACACATGTTCCAGTTTATTTATTAAAGCAATTGCTCTCCTCGTTCTGTTTATTATCTTTCTCCTGGGCAATTCAGGCACGTCAGAGCCAACCCCTTCCAGTCAGTCAGCCCTTTTTGGATTGTCATTTTTGGTTCAGCTCGGACAACACCCTGCAACTCTTCCTTCCTGAGAAACTGGGCTTGTCCCACTGTTCTTAAAAGCAGATGGAAATTTATCAGCTGCAAAAATTTATCCTGGCAAAAATATAGTGAAAATAAAGACTCAGGAATCCCTTTAATTTGATACGAAGCAGGTACATAATGGGGCCAGGGAGGCCATCTGAAGGGGGAATTTCAATGATACGGCCACATATGGCACCCAAGAGGCTGGGATGCACCACAGGAACACATCATAGCAGAGAGAGCCTGTTAATTGAAAGACTAGGAACAAAACATAACCCTTTGGCCATGAAAATCTTGTTTGTCCCATTTTATTACAAACCGCCACAGAACTGTGAAACTAGTGCGGAGCACAGGACCTTCCCTGAGATCACGTCAATATGTAGGAGAGCGGCATGGCTCCATACACTGGAAAGGTGTGACGCTGGTCCTTCTCCAGGAGACAGCGTTGTCACCAGCCTCCTTAAACACCTGACGTGCACACACACCAAGGCGAGGGTTCCTGCCATACTCTTGCAGAAGCACAGGCTTACATTCTGCAGTTTATTTCTGCCAGGGATAGGGCAGCAATGCTCTTGGCCACAGCTTCAGCATAGTAAAATCCGAGAGGCCCCCTGACACCAAATGGGCAGGGACTCTTGCACAAGAAAGCAGAGTCCCATGCCCAGTACTTAGCCCCAGGACTGGTACTTAACCCCAGGAGCCACCCTGTTGCCTGGTGCCCCATAGCCCCTCTGCATGCTCAGTAGCTGTGCTGTAGACCTATACCCACTTCTCTGGCTGTTGCACATGCTTCTGGAGCTGCCTCCTTCAGAAAAATGAAAATTAATTAAATATTATCCTCATATTCAGTCAGCAGTGGACAGCTGGACCTGGACAGGCAGCAGTTTTTCCAGCCTCTCCTCATTTTGTCAGTCTCCCTTTTGCTGCCTTAGCCCTCCTGCAAACTACAGGGAAAGCTGGTTTAATGTGGATTTTAGATCATTTTTTTGCCACTCAGACACTATAAGCCCCCCCTCACACTTACAGTAGCGTTCCCTGTTCTTAAGAAATCTGGCAGTTTTTAGAAATTTTGCTGAAATACTAATTGCAGTAAATTTTTATGGAAACAGATGGAGGAACCAGACAGCCAGAAATTTAATAACTCCTTTGAGTACTTAGCAGCAGAAACACTAGTCCCCAAATTCATTAAGAAAAAAAGTGATTAATGAAGATATAGATTTTGCATCATGATAGAAAGCCTTAAACTGTACAACTTTCTGATGATCCTCATTTATTCTGCCTTATTGGCTGCCTGGACAATTGAAGATGAATGGTCTGGGAAAGACAGAAAACATGCATTTTAACTACTGGGTAAAGTAAGTGAAATAACGATCCAGTGGCAACGTAGTGACCTTTTCCATGTGA